TTTCCCGCCCGTTTCCCGCCCGTTTCCCGCCCAGGATCACCGAGATGGGGAAGTAGTCCCGGAAGTGACGCCAGACGGGCCAGGCGCGCACCCAGGCGCAAGGGCGCCCCCCGCGGCGCGGCGTGTCCCGGTCCGCCAGCAGCCACAGCGCGTACAGCAGCGCCAGCGGCCAGAGCGGGCCCCGCAGCGCCAGCACGAACAGCAGCGTGCACAGCTGGCCTGGGGGATCGATCGGGGATCGATCAGGGATCGATAACCATGGGGTGATCGGTTATGGGTCAGTAATTGTGCGGGTATTGGTTATGGATCAATAACCGTGTGGGTATTGGCGGGTATTGGCTCTGGGAACAGCAGCGTGCACAGCTGGCCTGGGGGATCGATCGGGGATCGATCAGGGATCCCTAATCAATCCATTATCGATCCCTGATCGATCGGGGATCGATCAGGGATCGATAATGGATTGATTAGGGATCGATTTGGGATCGATAACCACCGGCTGATCGGTTAGGGATCAGTAATTGTGCGGGTATCAGTTATGGATCAATAATCATGCCTTATATATTATGCATTATATGGCAAATATTATATATAGCTGTATTATATGTTAATTATATATTATAAATGATATATGATTATTATATTTTATATTATATGTTATATGTTATATATTATATATTAATATTATATATTATATATAATATATTATATATTATATATTATATTTTATATATTATATATTATATATTACATATGATTATTATAAATTGTATTATATATTATATATTATACATTACATATTATAATTATATATATTATATATTATATATTATATATTATTATGATAAATAATATATTATATATTACATATTATTATGATAAATAATATATTATATATTATATATTATTAGGATATATTATATATTATATTATACATTATATATTCTATATTGTACATTGCATATTATATATTATATATTATATATTACAGACGTTCATTCCATATATTATACACTAAATATTCTATATCGATTATTATTATTATTACATATTTATATATTATAAAATACACATATTAAATATATGGTATCACATATATGATATCACATAGATTGTATTTCATTCCGGAATTTTCCCCCTCTAAATCCTGGGATTTTCGCCCTCTAATTCTGGGATTTTATTCCCAAAATTCTGGGATTTTATCTCTCAAATTCTGGGATTTTATTCCCAAAATTCTGGGATTTTATCTCCAAA